TGAGAGGGAGGAAACTGAAGTGTTGTGGCAGAATAACCGGTTCAGTTAAAGGGCAGGTAAATGCAGTTTAGTCTACTGTGCATAATACCGGATTTGTGTTTTAAAGACACTGGTAACATTGCTGTCATGCTAAGAATACTCTCTTACATAGTTAGGTCCTGAGTGAACAATGATTCTTAACTCTTCTATTATTCCACTAGTATTTTTATTTAAATGATATCATATGGGAAGTTAGTTTTTTTAACATTTTCCTAGCAATAGTATTTCACAGCATTTGGAGGGGGAGGAGGGGGAGGGAAGCACGACCCATCAGAGACTATTAAAAAACCCTCAAAGCCTAAGGTGCCCTTTTTGAGTGTTTAAGTCATTATCTACACTTCTTTTTAGTCTGACAACTGGGACACTTTGTCAATGCTGTGGACAGACAGAAAAACTTTATAATTTTGTTCAATCTGTCTGTATGCTTGAATGAGAGAAAGGTATGAGGCTTTTAGTATCTACACTGACGTGTTTAGTATTTTCAAAAGACTGCATTCAAAATACTAATAGTGTCTTAAAACTTATTTCTCCTAGTGGTGCTCATGTTCTTTTAGATGATGATACAGACCTAGGTTATGTGGAGGATGGAGCTCCATGCGGACCTCACATGATGTGTCTGGACAAAAAGTGCCTGCCAATTCAGTCCTTGAACATCAGCAGCTGTCCCATTGGTTCTAATGGAAAAGTCTGTTCTGGTCATGGGGTGAGTCTGTACCGGGAGTCAGCATCTAAGCTTCTCCAGCTGTCTCTGCTATATCCGATCTTAATGTACCCTGTGGAGTTCTGTACCTGAAAGTGTTCCTAAGACCTATTGATCTGAAAACACAAATGTTCAATTCAGGGGAAGACTGCCATTCTGGTGAAGCATGGATAGAATTTTAGAAAGCAAAGTTGTCAAATTAGTTCTGCAATTATATCCAAGGTGGTTTTTTCATTACTAGCAAGAAAGCTTAGACATCAGTTATTGTAAAGAATTCAGTAATGTACTACCCATATTTCAGGCTACTTGCCTTCTTCTGTTAAACTTTTTCCTGCATACTAACACCTTTATGAAGTTGATCCTATGTTCATGGATTTATACCTCATGACTTAAATAATTAATATTCTAAACTGTTGGACCTCAGCAGAGATGATATATTCTTCTTGAACAGATGCAAAATGTATCATTTTATGATCAGGCACACTATATTCTGTTATTCTACCCATAAGTTCGTTTGTCTAAGACATTAGGTATATTTTGATGAACAAATTCACTTTTCCATATCTTAACTGTAATACTGTGGGATTCAGTGGACAGATACTTGCCTAAGGGGCTAGACTTAATACAAGAACTTTTTTGTTTTGTTTTGTTTTTCTTGTTATGTGTAATTGAAGATCAATTTGAGTGCTTCAAAGAAGAAGGTTAGGTTCAAAATCAAGAAGAAAACTTTTAAAATAGGAAAGTAAAGGATCTAGGAGATCTAGAAATTATCTTGGTACTTTTGGAGAGTGACATGAGTGGTGAGAGAACTATGTTACCTTTTTTGTTTTGCTTTGGATTATTCTAGTTCATAATTTCAAGAGTACTTCAGTTGCTCAAACCCGCCATAAGATGTATTTATCTTCAGCTTCCTAGATAAGATTCTTTAGTAAATACTTTAAGAAGCAGAGTGAGATAAACGTTAAATTAAAAAAAACAAACCACATGTACTACTAACTTGTAATCATTAGTGTGTAGGTTATTTTCTGGTTTTTTTGACATTATGTTCCAGTGTCCAAAAGAAATTATTAACTGATGCCTAATGATTGACTTCATTTCTAGTCCTATAATCAAAAATTCATTCTTTGTTTTGTGTCATTTGTGACATTTCTTATGCCATGTTTTTTCCTTAGTACCCCCTTCTAGAATGCATTCCATGTTCTTTTTCATCTGGAAAGTTGATAGCTATTACCTCTCACTACTATTGTTATATTTTAGGTTTTGTCAGTTGGATACGTTTTCCTGTATCCGATAAACGTACTGCCAATTTTAGTGAGTCTTAAGTCCTTCTTTAGAGGTCTTTCAACTAAATGCAGTCTTAGGAAGAACTGTTTCTGCTCTTTCTAGAAGATAAGCAAACACTCCTCATTGCTGCTTAGAAAAAACTGCTGACAAAGCTGATGAAAATCTTACTGTTTTTCTACATGGGAGCAAGCTCTACGTGAGATATTGTAAAGCATAACCATATCTTGAACCTCGTAAATGCAAATGCTTGCATTTCTGGACATCTAGGCTTAAAGTCTAGATAGTTGGTTAGTGAAGACCTAACTAGTCTAGATAGGGTTTTTTTGGATGAGAATTATTATTCCTTACATCCTATGCAGGTGTGTAGTACAAGTGATGATGGAACCACTGGTAACACTTCTGCTTTTCCTAGCATCTGAGTATATTTAGAGGATTAAAGCAAACTTTCAGGTTATTGATGTATTATTCTCATTCTAAACACTCCATGCTATTGTTACAATATATAATTGGATAAGTCTTATACTGTAAATTAAATACCTAATTACATGTTAAATAATAAAATGTAGTTAAAAAACAACTGCTGTCATTTATTTTCTTTTCCAGGTTTGTAGTAATGAAGCCACTTGTATTTGTAATTTCTCCTGGGCTGGGACAGACTGCAGTATTGATGATCCTATCAGAGATACGGGTAGCAAGAAGGATGAAGGACCCAAGGGTTTGTGTGATTTCAGTTTTGATGTTCTTTCAAGTATTTATGACATTTTTCTGTTGATACATGGTAGCAGAATTAGCATATAGAAAGAGAATACTATTGTACAGTCCTGTTTAGACCTAGACAGTAAAATTCTGCTTTGCGTAGATGAAGTAAGTCTTTCTGCTTTGAGAATTGATGGAACTTTCATTTTTCTAACCTAAATTTGGGGAAGATTTCAATAGGTAATGGTATGTACATTCTGTTTTTTCCTTCATCCCTTATTCTATATTTTTTACCATAATTTTCTTTGTGATTGGAATCTGATTAAGTGTAGGTTTTATTATTTATATGATAATTGAGTATTTAAGTTTTACTAGAGACTTCTAGTTCCCTTCATTGTTCTCAGCTAATTCAGAGAGCTGTGGCATAAAAAAGGGGAAAATGGAATGTCCGTGGTGGAAAAAAAAGCTTTGGCTCCTTGAAATCAGATTTCAGTGGGAAGAAAAAGAAATAAATTAAGATTTTAAGGACTTAAATTATTCTTACAATCATTATTGCTTACTCTTACGTATTTAGTAGGTATTCCAACTGCATCTGAAGTATAAAAACAAAGAGGAGCTGTTGAGGAAATAATTACAGTTTTTCGAAGAGGAAGAAAAGCACTTGAGATTCTCTCTGACTTCTCTGCCAAAGAATGTCTTTGGATTGTGCTGTCCTATTTTTTAATGTTTTTCCTGTCGTTGGGATGTTGTCCAGCATCATACTATATTTATCCAGTGTTATGCATTTACAGATAAAGTTCTCAATAAACAACTAAGAAATCCAAACAATTTTTTCTGCTATGTCCCAGTTCCAGGTGGTTCTGACCCTTAAACAAGGCTGATGGAAAGAAGATAGGGTTGTTTAAAAATGTAGTCCTTAAACTCAGACTCTAATTGGTTCTTCCTTAGAATATCCAAGGTTTCAAGGGAGGACAGGATTTTGGTATGTCTCTCCAGAGTGGCTCTACTTCTGTCTTGTGTGCCTTATTCTTTTGCCCCTTAGCAGAATGTTTCCAGCAGACCCTTCCCAAGAACTGTTGAAGAGATCGTCTTAAAACAAGTCACTGTTGTAAAGGAGACTCTCTAGGAACAGTCTGGACTTGTATTAGGGAATCTGCAGGTGCTTCCTGGACTCCTAACCCTACCACTGTTCAGTGTAGAGCTGCCTAGTTTGTACCCTGCCTTACAAAGCTACTTGTCATTCCATTTCCCATAAAATCCTTCCTAACCGTGGAATGCTGCTTACGGACTCTTAAAAAAGTGGAGAACAGCAGTATAGAGCTGCTTACTTCTCTTTGTGTGTGGATGAAGAGAGCAGTATTTACAGTTGTGACACTGAGATTACATGAATTTTGTGTCGCTCATTTCCAAATCCTGTAGGTAAGAAATAATTCCCTCCTCTGTAAAAGGGTCTATAGGAAAGGCAACACAAAAGGTATGGTTATCTGAGTTAGATTTTTGTAATTCAGATTAACTCATCTAATTCAGAATGGAAGTAGCTTTATGAAAATTAATACGTCAATGCTGACATATTCTGAGAAAAGATCTTAAATGAATAGTATGTGCATGGGTTTCTGCCAGTAGGTACAGACATAGGAAGTTTAGACTACATTTTTCAATGGAGTCCTCTGCGAAAAGGCAGGATATGCTTTTGTATACAGTGGCTCAATGATTTTAAAAGATCGATTATTTTTACTTATGTTATTACAGTAATTTATTGATGCTGAATCACCTAGAAATGAATTTAGGAGCCTCAACACTGACAGCTACTATAATCTCTTTTGGTGTGCTAATAGAGGAATTCCTTTGTGAGTAGATGTCAGAAGAATACAGAAGTAGTTTTCTGTATTTTAAAGATCCAACAAACTCGAGTAGTTTTTTCCCCTTGTTACTAGTACTTCCTATGTCGTATGCCAGTTTACAAGTCTGAGACAGAAACCAAAATACTTGTTTTTCCTTAGCCCTAAATTTGAGGTTTTTTATTTTTCAGAAACAGAACACTCATGATGTGAAAATTCACCTAACAGAATTAAGATTTTTTTATACTATAAATCCAAGCATTTTTCTTACTACATTTAGAGCATGTATAGCTAGGAAGTGCTGCTATTTATTTATATATTGTTACAATAATTGACAATTGACTGCTGTTCCTGCTGCGCTTTTCAGACCTTTCCGACATCCATCAATTAGTTTTGGCTCCATGCTGTATTTCAGGATTTTAAAACTTAGTGGTCCTTAATTATGTTGGTATTAATACATGAGTCTTGAATTACTCTAAACTCAGCAACCTGCTGTATCCTGTGCTAGCAGACCTATGCAGCATGCTAGCAGTTTTGGGGAGACAAAGAGTTCTTGCTGTTAGTTTTTGGCTACTGCAGCAACTTTGAATTACTTGAGAGTTTTGGCTAGTGGTTTTGAAATCAGTAGGGCTCCATATGCACAGAAGATTTTTCCTTTGCAATTTCATTTGTAGAATTAAGCCTTTGTTTGACTAGGGGTTTGTTTGGTTTTTTAAGGTAAAACTTATGTCTCAAGTGTGTGTGTGTTTGTGTGTGTATATTTATGAAATGGGAAAAAATTATGAAACCATTTCAAACAGACTTCATTCAGTGTGAAGACTATAAAGATCTTGACCCTTGGACGAGTTCCCATTAGACAAGGAATTCAGCTGCTTGCTTGTGGTCTGTTATGACTCCAATGAATCTATCAAGCTTTTAATCTTTAACATAGGAAAAGTGTAGAGATGTGTTTTCTCAAAAGAGTTCACTTAAAAAGTTAAAAATAAGGCCTCAATGTCTTAAGAGATACTATCTGACCATATTGAAATTTCTAGGGTGTTACCTGAAGCTCATTTCTAGGGTAGGTTTTTCCTTTTAAAAGGTGTTATCTGTCTTTAGGTCATATAGCTCAATAAAGAGTCTTATTGATAAATGCAGTAACAAAAGAAAGTATTACTAACTAGTAAAGGAATGAATTAAAAAGTTGAGTTTTTTTTTTTTTTCTTTCCTGCAATGGAACTGTTACCAAACAGTGTTCATTTGCTTATATTATGGATACAGTAAGTTTCTGGTCATCAAAAGGAAATTTTCTTATTGGTGATTTCTTTACCTTTTGGCTGTTTTAAATAAGCAGTAGGTTGATGATGTTCCCTTTTTAAGTAAATAATAGACTCGCAAGCTAAAAGGAATAGTCTTACATTTACAGGAAAACTTATCATTGAAATATTTGCAAGTATTCAAAGAAAACCAAATATAGCTCATTTCAGAATTTTTAAAGCTATGGTATTTGGTAAATAAAGGTTTGTTAGGAGGTTTGAATTGTTTATCCAACAATGGATTACAGTGTAAAATATTCCTTTGAGGAATTATTTCATGTTTTCATTTCAGACATATGTGTGATCATGTCCTTAAAAAATCTTCCCTTTTCCCTCCACACAGTGAGCATGGCCACTAACAGGCTAATAGGTGCAGTGGCAGGGACCATTCTGGCCTTGGGGGTGATTTTTGGAGGCACAGGGTGGGGAATAGAGTAAGCATTTTTCTTAGTTTGAGTTTTATGTTTGGTGCCTAGTGTGTGAGGTAACCGTATGCACCCGAGCCCTCTGTGTATTACCCCATTAGCTTTGTCATGTGGTGACCGTATTTGTCATGTGATTTGACTGTGTCTGTGTCATGTGGTTTGCTCATGCAGTGTTGAACCTTCTCCTGTCTGGGATAATGTGGGGCATAAAACAATAAGTTTGTGAATTTTTACATTGTCACGTTAAAATTAAATGTCTAAATGTTTCCATTACACCAAATTATAAAAATAACGGGAAAAAAAATGGACGTTTGTAGTTATTTTGCAAAATAGACTAAGTAACGTGGACTATTTCATAAAATGCAGAAATTGTTTATTACAGTCTATGGGGCTTTCAGTCTAATAATAGGTCACATGATGTAGCTAGGAAAATGAAGACTGATGATAATAGTATAGACAGCTAGTTTTACAGTACAGCTTCTGAATGTTCCTTTGCTAGGATTCTGTTATCTCAAGGCAGTAGAATGCTGAAGTATAGAATTCATATATAAAGAATATTTTTTATTGTCTTTTCATAGTTTTAGGAAACTGTAATCTTAAGTGTTGGTCCACTACCTCAATTTTAACAGTAGCTATGATTTATATATGTGCGTGTATATGTGTATATATGCACATATTAAAAATGCCCATATAAGAACTCTCTTCATTCTGCATTCACCATGCAAACTACAGAATAAATTGCTGTTATTGTGCTCTTCTGAGGTTTCCAACTTCACTGTGTTTCTAATACTATATATTACCTCTGTTGTGTGACAGTGCCATCTCTCTGAAGGGGGGATCGTAACAGTACAGTTTGTAATTTCCAGTCAGGCTGTGTGAAAAAGCATTCACGTACAGTTCCAATTAAGGCTGTGTAGGCAGCCTTCTGGCAGGCAGCATTTTGTGTGTCTGAGCTTGCAGCCCTAGGTAAAACCTTTTGGGCTTTTGCTGAACTGGACTGTTACATGACACTCATCTTAGATTCTCAGAAGAGTAGAGACCTTTGCACTCATGGAGGACAACTAATAGAAAAACAAAGAGAAGGAAGAAGGTAATAGATCATCTGCTTGAGAAAGATCAGATTGGTGTTTTACTGATGGCTTTTACAGCTGTTTGCTAAAAAGTGAAGACTGTAGAGGTTTGGGACCCAGATTCTGGAGCAGAGAATTCCCTTACAGGTTGAGGACTGTTTGCCTTTTGCTTACATTCTGCCTTGTACCCTTCTTATTTTATCTTCCCTTACCTGCTGCCTCAATCTACCCAGCTCTGACCATTTTATTCTTGCTCCTCTATCCTTCTGCTCTAATTCCAGCTTTTCTTCATCTTTCCTCTGCTCTTCTCACTCACTGCCTGTCTCATTCTTCTTTTTGTTTCTGTCCATTCTTTCCTGGATCCCATCAGTCTTTTCTCTGTCCTCTGGTTCCTTCAGATACAAACGTACACTCAAGGCAAGCTGTTGCTACTTGTTGTCGCTTGGTTTAAAGAAAGCACATGGGGAACACAAATATCCTCTCTGTTTCTAATGCCCTTGAGGCCCTGGTGGGTGTCACCATCAGTGGCTGCAGCGGAGGTTGTGTTCATCACAACCTGATGCCATGTCCTGCCCTTCGTCCTCCTTCCTCGCCACTTCACTTGCAAATTGCGAACTTTTCTTCCAAGTGCTGAAATAACATAGTAACTTTATTAATGCTTTATAAATGTATTTTAGTAATCATGGGGGACAAAATGGCAGAGTAGTTTTTTTCCAGATTTCATCCTGAAGTGGTTACTTAGCTTTGATAACTTAAACCAGAGGATTTGGCTGGCACAGCGACAGGCAAGAAAAGAAAACATCAAACCACCACAGCGTGTCGTTACCTGCAGGACAGTCTGCAGTAAACTTGCCTCTCCTACAATTAGCAGAGTTTCAAAGCAATGTATATTAATTCTTGTAGAATCTACCTGATGATGACAAAGATTTAGGGAATAGTCTGAAGTCCACTGAAATTATAGTTGTGTTCCGTTTTAACACCTTTAGTAGGATTTGTATCCAGGTCCTAAAAGACAACTAGAGATGATACGATAGCCATGCTACAGCTGGTAGCGCCTTGCAGGAAAGGGTGGTGTGCCAGGTGGCTGCAGTGCCCTTAGTTGCAGGAGCTTCTTCCTGATAAATCTGTGCCTGCAGGTTATGGCAGTATGTGGCGGACAGAACAAGTACACCAGAAGTGTTGCATCTTGTGACAGTCTGGATGGAACATGACCCCGCAGTATGATGGTTGTTAAAACCTTCCTCTGACTTTTGGTTTGCATGTCGAGCATCCGAGTCCAGTGACTACAGAAGCTTGTTTAGCTGAAACATTCTGATTTATACTTTTCTTCATAAATGTCACTAACTAAAGTGAGCTGATGAAAAGTGGGCTTCATACTGGTAGCAAAATTCTGGTTTATTAATAATACAATTTCCTTGATAATGCTTAATAGAACTTCAGGCATACATTCTTAAGGTAAGGTATAATATGTAAAAGTAGTCCCATTGTAAGTACTTTTATGTGCACAGTCTGTTATGGTCTTAAAATGGCTTACCAATAATCCTCTTAAATCTCTCTATTTTGAAACGGGAATTTGTTAATTGGAGGACTCTGTTCTGGTAAACAAGTGATTGCTGTTTAGTAATAATAAGTATTCCACCAGCTAGCTTTGTTATATTGAAGTCAGACATGAGATTATAGTCTTGTTGATAATCAGTGAAATTTTACTTTGAACGTAGCCTTTTCAACTTCTTTGCTAGGAAAAAAAGCTGTTTCTCTGCATTCATAAGAACTGTCGCTCACAGCATACTGTGAAACAGTTTTAAAATTATGCCAGAGGATGGACATGCCTTTATCCACAGCTATCTGTCATTTAGTCTGCTCTTAGGAACTCTCTAGCAGATAGTCTGATTTTCAGGGATTTTTGTGTTAAAAATGAACATCACTTCTTTAGTCAGTGACACTTTATAAAATTGGCTGAAATATGAAAAGTGTTTTTAACAGGACCAATTTATTATTTAACATGATTTTAGTGGCTTTTCTGTTAACCTAATTGTTTTGTGTAGTATCCTGTTGAAATTTTGATTGAATTCTTCCATATTTAGAGTAAATAAAACCAATAATGATTTTCTGTATTGAAAGAACAAACTGCTGTTTGTTGACTGGATGTGCACTATGAACTAGATCCACCCCTTACCTCCGACCCCGAACATTTAATGACCAGGGAACATAGTAAGAAGAGGTCTGTAAAAAAGTGGTGATTTGGTACTTCCTTATCTAAGTTATGACTATGTTACTATCAGTTAATCATTGTACCTCTTTTGTGGGAAGATAGCATTCTACGGCTGGAAAGAAATCAGCCCTCTAAAATTTATTACAGATAAATAAGTTGTTGTCTTTTCAGTCTTTTGTTGCGTGCAATCATTTTATAAAAGCTGGAGTAAGCCACAGATCTGAGTCAGATACTGTAGCTCGTTAGGCTGCTGTTGAAAGCAAGCCTTAATTAGGAATATAATGCCTGTGGCATAGTGTTCATTTACCCTCCACCATGCTCACACCTGTTGATTTGAACCAGGTGTGACTTTAAAGGTAAGTCCAAATAAGATATGTTCTTCAAATTGTGAAGAATTACCTTTTAATTATTTTTGTCAAATTCGTGCACTACTGGTGTCTGTAAAGCTCACTACATTTCTTTTCAGTCTGTGTCTTTTATTTATATTCCTGAATACTCATTGTGTAGGAATTGCAGGAAGCAATTTTTAAAACTTGGTTTTCTTTTAGCTAATCTGATCTCCAGAAGCACTGGTATGGGAAACATGTAATGGATGCAATGAAGTTAGGTCACTGCAGTAAATTTTAAAACTTAGGGCGCATACTTATTGCAGTGTCTGGGACTGCGCAGAAGGTTTTGTGACACCGACCTAACAGCGTAAAACTTTCAGTTGTTGCAGCTGCCCTTGCTTTTTCCTTTGCTGATCTCTGGCTGCTCCTTTTTCTTCCTTCTGTTAGCTGTCTGACAGTTTTCCAAACTCGGTTTCAGAATGTTTAAAATAGGAAAATTTCAATTGCTGTGCAGAAGTGTTGTTTTGGGGAGACTGGGATAGGAGGTAAGAACTGGTTTCGAAGGCTATTCCTGAGTATGTAAATGTTTAAACAAAAGGTGTGCAATATGCTGCAAAAGAACTGTTGGGTGGTTTCATTTTTGCCTTGAACTCAGATGCAATGAGCTTGACATCAAAGACTGCGCAATGGGAAATTTCTATAGAGAGCAATTAAAGTGTTTCTCAAGCCTATTGTCAGTTTTCCTCAACCTTGTGTAAATAGAGCACTCAAGGGTCAATTATGAATATCTTATTTAGGTGTTCTCTTGCCCTCTTCAGAAAATTGCACAAACATATTTTGTGCTGCTGCTTTTTGTTGCTCTTTTTTTCCTGCTCCACCCTTCCCCACTTTGTTGTTAAGTACCTTCATAAGGATGATGAAGAGATGCTTTGATGTTTGGAAAGTTTGATGGGAATACATCTTTTATTTCAACTTTTTTTCCTTATATAATCCTTTGCTTTTGTCAAACAATTGTTTGTAAATTTAGCATTGATGTAACTGTACAGCATCTGGACTCATTAGCAAGTGGTGCTAGATGCTCTCAGCTCAAATTAAAATATCTACCCCCTTTCGGCATCTCCATTAAAAAAGTTAGGCTTTTTGATTTTTTTTTTCTTTCTTTCTCATTTGCTGTAGTCTTAAAACATACGGATTTCGTACTTTTTCCTTCAAGTTAAGGAATTATTCACAAATATCTTAGTGTCTTCAGCTGATAGTTCATTCACTAGATAACGGAGTAGGTCACAATGGAATTTACTGTCTAATACTAGATTTTTATCTGTGATAGAAGTCAACATAGCACAATGCAGAGACCAACAGCTTTGTTCATTCTTGCTGTTAGGGAAAAGTAAGTTGGGCTTGCTGAAATTGTCTAGAGGTGTCGCCCTGCGTGCTGTCTATATTCCTTGACTTGTTTGACTACCCTTCAGTTGCTTCACTTAATATGAATAAAGTGGTTGGTTCTTATGTTTGTCTTACCATAATCCTTTATCGCAGGTCCTAGTGCCACCAATCTTATAATAGGCTCCATCGCTGGTGCCATCCTGGTAGCAGCTATTGTCCTTGGGGGGACAGGATGGGGCTTTAAGTAAGCAATGCCGCATGTCTTCTCTTCAGTGGCTATGGCAGTTCTATTTCTTGCTTACATCACTAAATTTTGAGTTCCTGCTACAAGATTTCTAAGCTAACTCCCCACCCTCTCAACCGTAACAAACTGCTTTAAAGAGAAAGAATTACACGTGCACCGAACAAGAGGAGGAAATGGATTTGGAACTAGCAGATGTTATCAGGGTGCAAAGTTGAAGAGAATAAAAGAATTGATTTAACTTTCATGAACTTACCCTAACACTTAGGGAGCAAGGTCTTTTTTTCACCTCCAATTAATAGCATTGTTCTCAGAAGTTGACTGCAGTGGTTAAAACCCCCAAAAGATATGTGTCTTGAGGAGTGTTTGTTTTGAATGCAGTAGTACTGCTAAACTGCTAAACTTTTTTTATAATTAAAGACTTCATGTGTAGATGGTAAGTGGTGGCAGTAGCAGAGTAGTTTTCAGTAACAAATGTGTTGACACAGATGGCTCGGAAGTAACAGAGCTAAGTTTTGTTGGTGGACAGGGATTTTTTTTGTTGTTGTTCTAATTATCAGTTCACAAAAAAAAAATAAATCAGGTTTAGAGAGAACATTTTGAAACCTTGAACTGTATCCTGAAAGATGAAAATATTCCTCACCCAATTCTAGTTCAATGTATTTTATGAAGAGTAACATCCTAGTCATTCTGCTGGTGACTGATACAGCAAAGAGTCTTCTACAAAGGCATTTAATTCTTGCCTTTTTTTGTAGTATCAAGTCTACCTATGTGCATGGTCCACATTTGGTAAAAAGGATCTAAATTTAGAATCAATGTTCATAACCTTACAAATCATGGAGGTATTAAGGGGAAGAACAAGTAATGTCTCACGGTATTCAAGTTGCTATTTCGTTTCAGTAACATGAATCAAGATTAAGCCATGGTGCAACAATAAGCCATAATTCCTCAATTAGGTGTTTATAATAATTCAAAGAATATTTTATATGACCTATATCCATATTCCATGTCTGAGTTGAGAAGAAAAAAAATTATTCCCTAATTGATCAAGGCAGCTATCAAAGTAGAATATAGTGATCAGGTCATATTTATCCGTTAATTCACTTTCAAAGGTCACCTGAAAATGTTTGTTTACTTCTGGTTTAGACTCTTGTATTTTCATAGTGTCCGGTGGCCTTAATTACACATGCATATAGAAGCAAAATATTTCTAAATCTTTCAGCCCTGCTGAAAACAGAAAACAGATTTGCCTTTCCTTCTGGGCAGGGCAGTTCCTGCTGCACTGCCTGCCCGTGTTTTCAGAAAGACCCAGCTCCTGTCGCAGTCGTTTTTCTCTAAGGCTTGTTCGGAGGGCAGGGACGCTCCCTGTGCCTCCCCTTGAGGCTGGCAAGAGCTGCGGGGGTCAGTGCTCCTCACTTGCTTTATTAAGTACAAAAATGTATCAAAGCATCCGTCTTTAAGCATGGGTGTGCGATCTTCATAAGCCTTTTTAATTCCTGTTTTTTGACTTACCTTGAGCTGCTGTGGGTTTTTCCTTACAGCTTCTTCTCAGTTAAATTAAATCCCCTTATTTGTACAATAAATACTCCTAGGTCAGCCTCCAGTACTTACAAGTTATGACAGCACAGCTCTAAACAACGTAGTTTTAATGCAGTCCTGTATCTATTGCATTGTGTCTCATATGGCCGAGACTTCTATTTTCCATATTTATGAACAGTAAAATAATTTAATATTCGTGCATTTTTGATATGTTGTTTCATCAGATCTGTGTTTCAAGGCAGAAATTCAAATGAGGTGTGTGTTTTAGAATCTGCAGTGACAGACACGGATTCACATGTGGTATTGATAGAAGGAGGAATTTGGATTCTTTTCATTTGATGGATTGAAAGATTTCTTCTCTGTGAAGGCCTAATCCGGGAATAATGCTTTTTTTTTTTTTACAGACTGTCTGTAATACCTGGACATATTCTATAGCATTAACTAATACCAGTACATTTACATTTTTTTTTCTACCATACCCTCCTAGATGCAGAATTATAGGAGAGTTGTCTTTTGACCTAAATAAAGCGTATAAACAATACATAAGGATTTCAGTTAGTTGCAGAACTGAGGGTTTCTTTTCCCTGCACTTCACCTCAATTAGGTTTTTTAATAAATACAGCGAAATTTTCTGCAATGCTTGCATTAACATTTCTGTTAAAATTTTTGATTTTTTGAGAACAATGCACTCACATTTAAAGTGATAATATTAGAAACACTGATACTGCGAGTTCCCGTGGGAATTAACCAAGCTGGATTTTCTTGGAAAAAATGAGTGTCAGATGATATTTTTGGACAAGTTTTCTGCTGTCAGCAACATATATCTGTTACTTAGCAATTCATATGCTTTCCAGACACAGCATGCTCATCCCTAAATAATACAGCAGAAGGTGATCTGTTGAAAACACAGTACAAGTCATTAAAATACAGAAACTTGAGGCAGTTTCTTCCTCTGACTCTTTTTGAGCTGTCTTGTGCCCTTAGCAGCTTTTGCTCTTTTGCAGTACAGCCTCTGCCAGCAGCTGTACGAGCAGTCTGGCTGCCGCCGGGGACACCTACGCTCCAGAACTTGCATGAACACAGATCTGTAGAAGAATCCCTCCCTGTCTGAAACAATACCGTATTGAACTGATTGATCGTTTATTTCTTCTTTGTATTCCACATCTCTCCAACTACTCTCACAAGCGTTCAGCTTTGCATCCTGGTGTCATTCGTTTGCCCAAACGTAGAAGCTTGTTATCCCTATGGCGGATTTGCAATGGAAATGTCTCTTGAAGCTCTTGTTCTTAAAAGAGCGAGATACAAATGTTTATTCTGTAGCAGAACCTCAAATACACTGGCCTGGCCTAGCTCACAGCTTGAAGTGCATGTTTCTTCCGGGGGTCAGAGGGGAACTGAAAAGGCTTTTCAGCTTGCATACGAAAGTGGGCTACCACATGTAGGCCCTCTAATACTTGCTTCAGATGTATCTGGAGGGACAGATGAGGATCATAAAGAGGATTTTGACTTTTCCTTTTAAAGCAAGTGATATGTTTAGTCTCTGCAAATATGAGAGAAGGTAGCTAATGCTTTACAAACTGGGAGATGTGATTTCTATTTCGCAGGTTATCAGATGTTCATATGAACATACGGTACTGTGGTGTCAAGTCCATATCAAACGTAAGCTGCAACTAAGCAAACTTTGTTCATGAACTGAGGTGGTGGGGGGTGGGGGTTGGAGGGGAAGTGTAAAAGAAGTCTTGATGCAAGTTTGAAGAAAACAAAGTAAACAAAACCAATTTCTTCCAGTTTCAAGAGTGAAGCCCAGGTTAATTTTTCTAATCAAGTTCATGTGTGGATAGAATAGGAAAGAAGAAAGTTAACTGACAATTTTAGGGGACACAGAGCCTCATTACACATTTCAGGTGGCTTAGAGTCAAAAGCTGTGGGTGGAAACCTTGTTAAGAAGTAGACTTTACTTCAGTTGAGCCTTGCATATTACTTTTAAAGCTGTTGGTGTTTAGATTGCAGTAAGGGAGTCCTGCACATTTCTACCTGAACTCTGCTGGGTAATGTACGGAAGTACAGCTTTCATGAAATGTATGTGAAGTTCATTTCGATGTAGCAAGTCTGTGCCAGATTTCAATATACAGCGTTTAATATAGGACCAATGTAGGAAGGACTTTTTACCATCGGAGGAGTTCTTCTGTGCATTGCCTGCAGTTGCAGTCTCAGGGGCCTATGCTCACTTATTTTTTTTCCTAGCATATATTCACTTGCTTTTGCAAAGCCACTGCAGTAATATAAGCTGATTCAATGCTTTTGTTGCTGACTTTAACAGTATTAAAGCAATTTTTGGTAATAAACCAACACTGCTAAGAGGCAGTGCTAGTAAAAGCGATGTGGAAATGCACATGAAAAGCTGCTTCTTGTTATATCAGAATGCAAAGGTGGCTGACAGAGAAGAGTTGATTGTAGGCACAATTCTATTTCCAGCAATTGTTTCTCAGCTGAAGAGCTGCAGGGTTTTCTGTCCCTTTAGTGGAATACTAATGGATGGACCACAGACTTACCCAGATATAACAGGTGCCAAGTTTTCAACTGGTCTGTGCAGAGGCATTTAGACCCCAAAAGTTTCTGCAAGATAAAAGGCGGTGGAATGCTAATGGCGACTTTGTGAGGAAGGAGGTTTTAGTCCCTTACCAGCATTTCTGTAAAGTGTGTATTGTGGACCTAAAGACAATCATCACTACACAAACATCAGCATTAGAATCAAATGTGAGATATTTTCACACTTTTTTTCCAAACTGCTAGAATAAATGGCAGGTCAACATCTTATTTTAAGCTGCTAATTTTAGTCCCTCATTTTGTTAATTTGAATCGGTTTTGTAGCAAAAGGTCATTTATTTAAGCTCTTCTTCAGCATTTGAACCATGCTTTAGGAATGCCTATAAACATTAGCTATTTTAAGTAATCAAAATACTGGTTTTGGATAAATCTTTAAATTCTTAAAAGTAAAGCTTTCTATTTATGTGATCACAGACAAAGGCACAGATTTGCAAGTAATGTGCTGTGTAACTACATTCCTAATGAGTTGCAAAACAAAACAAAAAAAAAAAAAAGAGAGGTTTGCAGCAAGGTATTTCTTACATACATCCAGCCTTTTTTTGAACCTAGTTTTACTTTTCTGAAATATCTTTTGTTTGTAAAGACGACCATGTTAGAGAGGCAGTGATGTGCTGTAGCACGCTGTGCTTTTTTGATTCAGAATCAGCTATAATTTTGGTTCCGTTAGAGACACTTTTTCTGGTTGGATTACGGACTGAAAGGCTGACCCTCATTATTTAGAGAGGCATTAAAACATTAAATGCAAAAAAAGTTGATGTTCTAAGATCTTACACATAAAGCAACAAAGAACTAGGAAACAGCATCATTCTCCTGTGTGTCCTTCCATGGAGGACTCTTCTGCCCCCAGCCTTACCATTTTAC